TACTGCAGCACCTCTTTGTAACATACTCCTCCAACTGCCAGGATGACAAATCAACAACGTTTAAGATAACTGTACTTGTCTTTATGAGTATCTGTAATTTTCTTACAGTTTTGTCTTCTTAGACTGCAATATTGATCACGTATTGATTGACAAACATAATCTTCATTCGAGGCCGTCAGTCAAGGAATATGACCTCAGGGCACTTTTACAGATCAACCATCACACAAACCAGAGTTGCCACTCACTGCTAAATCACAAAAGAACACAGATTGGAAGAGCCTCTGGAAGAGACCCAACCCACCTTCCTGCTCAGATGAAGTGTAATTAGATCTGAGTGTTCAGGGACTTGTCTGGGTATCTCCAGGGATGGGGATTCCACAACTTCTCTGGGCAACCTGCTCTAATATTTGACCTATTTCACTCTAAAGCACACAGTGCTTGCAATTTGCCTCAATCATTAATTCAGAAAATTGTTTCTCACATATTAAAATCGAGACCACATTGAGTCTACGCCCTTATCAAAAACAGGGAAAGATGAAAGAAGTGTAAGGAAGAGTGAGGAAGGATGAGAGTCAAGACAATTTCACCCAAAATAAGGGAAAAGTCTCTGCAGGCCTCTTCAGCAAGCCAGGAACTTCTGTTCTCTAGCACAGACACCACAACATAACAGCCAATGCAGATGAAGTCAAAGACAAGGGATGGGGAAGAAAAGAATGGCGACCACGCTCTGCTCCCCTTGTTTTCATACTCCTCCCTCTATTCAAAACAGTTTCACTGCATCCAGACACAGAAAAATGTTTTTTCATGCAGGAACTGAAAATGCCATCTCAGCATCAACTGTTTGCAAACACTCAATCCTCTTAAAGGCTGACAGAAAGAAAATAAGTCTGGTGGCAAACAGTCACATGAACAGAACCTGCAGTGGCTGTCAAGTGTACCATCAGAGTAGGAAACACATCTTGACTTTGCTGAACACAATTGTCAAGTGATCAAAACCCTATTGAAGAATTCCCTTTTTTAGGATATAGAGACACTGGTTTGTCTGTCACACAAAAGTGAAGACCTCAAAATTGAAGATGATGGCCCTCTACTTAAAACACTATCTGAATAGTTTTACTCATAACAACAATCTCTAAGTGCCCCTGAATTACTTGTGCTGACAACTACTGGGAACAGGAACTTGTTCAGTTCTTCAGATTACTTTCCAGTTATGTCCTAACCCTACAACAGGAGGAGGAGAAAGAGGAAATGGAGCAGTGGGCTACAGTTTTTTAAAAAACTGCAATTCTGACATTCAAGACATTAATGAATACATTTAGCGCTTCTGCATTGACCATGCAGAAACAGTTACCAAAATGCCATGGTATTAACTGAACACCTCAGATTAGGTGTAGGAGGAGTAGAGAAAAGAAACGATGATGAGAGGAAAGAACAATGATATTTCTTCTCTCCTCACACCCCCCCCCTCCTCACTCCTGTCAAACCACCAGCAAGAATTAGCACATTTTAGGTCTGGATATTTGCCAGGTAGCACAAAGGCCAACAAAACTAGAAGTTGCTAGAAATACAATAGTTTTTTTTAGGATGTAAAATCTGAACAACAAATATAGACAGAGACTGAAGTTAACTACCCTCATCTTCAATAAATAGAGCAAGTCAAAGGGGAAAAGACTGAAAACTGGCAACTGTCAACTATTCAAAGGGGAAAACAGTAAATCAAAATTTCTAGTAGGAACGCCTTGTTTCTTTTTTTTACCTTTTTAAGTAACAGGGCAGGCTGTCTTCACACCCCTAATAGGGTGCCAGTGACCAACAAGATTTTGTGAAGCAACCACTAGTATGTGAGAAGAACAGCGCTCCTGAGAGCTGCAGCACTGCACTGCAACCAGAAGACACAGAAGGAAGTAGCAACCCTTCCTTTCTCTGGAAAAGGCTCGGCAGGTAGCGTTCAGTATATTTAAAAAGTTTAAAGAAAGCTGTTAGTTTGCATCTCCTGAACGACAATACCACACACTTCTACAGAACCACCAGACAAAAGGGTACTGCCAGCGTCACAAAAATCACAGAAGCAGCTTTTATCACAGGGCGCCCACAAAAGAAGAGGCCAAGCACTTTTCCTCTTCGCTCAGCTGTTTTACAATTGCAAGCCAAAGGTCAACTATCTTCACTCACTTCTGGAAACCAGCCATAAGATTACTAACAACCAGCTTAATGGCTACAGTTCAAATGCTGCTCAATCAAGTCCCGAATATGTGGGTAGGCAGCAGGAGCGGCGCCGTGACGTCACGGGCGAGTTATGTGCTGCCATCAGAGCGAGTCACACGCTGCCCACCTCTGCCACAAAGAGAAACACAAACTGCCAGGGAACAGGACTCAAAGCGTTAGAGGTTATGTTCTTTCCTCAGGGTGGCCACGGTGTAACGTTTCGCTATGAAACAACCCTTTGTTACCATCATATAGCGATCAAATTAATTTGACTTTCTGGAGGTGCATCAAGACAGGTGTCTCACAGCCAGATTTCAAGACATCTCCATTACGTGTCAAGTTCCACGTGTACCTCAGCAAGGGATACCTAAAGAGCGACGAGTGCAAGCACACTCAACATGCTGCAAGGTTATTTCTCTCCCCAATTCATCCAAGGGCAGCAGGGTTGACCTGATTAATAAGACAGATCACATGAGGCACATGAATGGGATACCCTGAGATTTCTCAGTCATGAGCAAAGCACTAACAAAACAGATCCCACACGTCTGATGGAAATTCATTTCCACAACCTGAAACACGCTTGAAGGGAACCAGACTTTCCAAATGGCCACGCACCACAGAAGTTTGTCACTCTACTCAAAGTGAACTGTAACAATTCTAATTGGGTTTGGCTTATTCATCTGAAATATGCCGGCCCCAGACAGCGAACCCTACCACGGGGCACAGAGCTCATTCAGCTGCGTGCTGAAGAAGGATCCCTGAAACTCTTGGAATTTCCACTCATTTTAGTGATATTCTTGACTGACTTACCATTTCTACAGCTCGGTTTACTCATCTATGAAGTAAATATGTAAAATTTGTAAGAATTTTCAGAATGTGAGCTGAAAGGAAATACAGTCTGAAGAACTACTCATCAACAACTTTGAGGAAGTGATTAGTCTAAGTTTTAGATAGAGTAGGAAAATCCCTCTCTGTATTCTAGGAAAAACTACAATGATTCATGCAGTGTAACAGCATGCAGACATACATACCACCATGTCACATCACTGTGACAAAACTTCTACATCAAGTGGCTAGGATTCAAGTACATCTTACTACCAGCCATTGTATGCAGTGTTGAGAGTTTTAGCACAAAGTAAACTTTTAAAAGTCTAAAAAAAAGGTCAATTTTCCTTTAATTCTTAGAGAATAAAATATTTTAAATTAACGCAAATTTTACAAGACATTATTTCACGTACTACATTAAGAATACTTCTAATTAAGAATAATTCTAATACTTAAGAACACTTCTAATACTTCTAATTAAGAAAACACTTAAAAATAAACTATATTTCATTATACTTATTTTTTCCTTCACTAATAAAAGCTGAGGGTGGTTAATACAGAGGAGAATACAGCTCAAGAAAAATAAATGCAAGGTTATCACAAAAGACCTCTAATCTTCTAACAGTCTCGAATGTTTAAAAATAGCAAATGAAAATATTCTGGTAATTTACATCAACACTGGAACTGAGGTATACATGCCTAATGGGCATTTCTAAGGCCAGTTTTGGGCCAGGGATGCATAAGGACATATTTGAAGTTAATCTCAAAGCAGGATACATTTTTGCAATCTTTATCTGTTGATGGGCACACAACATGACTGCAGTTTTAAGAAAGCCACAGTTATGTTATTGAAATATCAGCTATAAAATTTGCACATTAAATTTACACATACAGGTTGTTTTTTCCAACTTATCTTAAGATAGGAGTTAAAATCAAGCCCTTCCTTGCCAAAAATTTTGAGTAGATGAGTAATCCCCCTGAGGTCTGCAGGACTCCATTTGTGAGCACACACCAAGTTACGGCCTTACACCTGCAGGACAGGCGCCTCTCAAAAGAGTTTCTGCTCAAAGCATTCTAGAAAGAAACAGCTTAAAGTACTTTAACACTAAATAAATCACACTAGGAAGGCAAAGCCCATCTACTTTTATGGAGAAATACTAACTCTGATGCAGCTCCATTACAACATTCCAGAGTATGGCTCTTACTGCCCGGAAGCAACAAAGCCCAGAGCTGAGAGCTGTGCTTCACTGAGGCCAGATCACAGCGGATTTTTGCATTTTACTCCTCCCCCAAATAAAATATTGTGTTTGCTCTGTGTGTCCAATTCTTTTAAATAACGCTTCAGAAATTCAAATATTTTTCAAACGTCTTAAGCCTTTGATATATCGAAAGAACTACAGACAAAAATTCCTCTAATGCCCTCCAGTATCCACTTACGTCTGCACAGATCCATTAAATATTCAGCCACAAGCTTATCGCTCGAGTTCATCGGGACCGAAGACAAAACTCAGCACCAATATCTGACAGCCTGATGCTAAAAGATTATCTACCAAGAAAGAATCTGATCACTGCTCTTTGATATTGCAAGCCTTGGCAGGAAGCATAGGAAAGGAATATCAAATTGATCTTGATTACTTGAAGGGGTTTTCTCTCACAGAAGGGAATTCAGCGTAGAGATTATCTTGTACTTCTGCTTATTTGCTACCCTGTTTACAACCAAGTTTTGAAATGTTCCAGCCTCAGCAGAGATAATGAGGTGCTTTGGGGTGCACGCTTAACATAGAAACAAAACGGCCTCTCCCGCTCCTAGAGAGGCCAGACTGGGGTTCAGGAAATCTTGAGGTACCCTACTGAAAGGAGACGGCGTTCTCTGGGGACTCAAAAGACGGCCAGGTCCGAAGAGACTCCCGAGAGATGCCGAGAAGCCCAGGACGAAAGAAGGAACGGCCGAGCCCTCACCCTCCGCTTACCTTAAGGATATCCCCCCGTTTGAAGCTCAGCTCGTCGTCCGCGGTGGCTTTGAAGTCGTACTTGGCGATGGCTTCCATGCTGGGGCTGCCGCGCGGGGCGGTGCGGGCGCTGG